CCTATAAAGTAACCCCAAAAAGGAACTACTATGGTATGGGTAACCCCAAACCCTGCAATAAAAACAAGAAGGGGTCAGGTACCGCCCCAGTCTCTGGGGCAGCGACGGCGCAAACGCGCACCAAGTCCAAACCTCGCAGTGACTTTGATCTTCGCAAGGGTTTCGCCCTTGTTTGGCCCAGGGGCCTAAGATTTAGGGTTGCAGGGTCGGTGCTTTCTGCCGTCAAGTCTGGATAGTGGCAGGGCTCAGAGTGTTCAGACTTAAGGATCAGTAGGGTTTCCAGGGTGTGCGCTAAAAAGATCGACGGACTTGCCAAGCAGGTGATGATTGGGATGACCTTATTCGAGTGACCCTCGCACCCTTCCAAAACAAGGACCCTCAAAGGGACCGAATTTGTAGAACCACCCAGATAACCCCGAAAGCAGAGATGTCCCTGCTCCGCACGTGCTGCTACCCGGCAGCTAAACCCCAAAGCCATACACTCAAACCTTCATGTCGGAGCCTCAACAACTAGAACAGGGTTTTGGGGTCCATTAGTTATACTATAAATATAGTAAGACCCCCCCGCAAAAAATAGTATAGGCAACCAACGACACCCGCCCCCCCAAAAAAAAGCTCGGGTTGCTATAAGGGTATTTTGAAGGTACTATCAGGGTACTATAAGGGTTCTAGAAGGGTTCTATAAGGGTTCTATAGGGGTACCATCAGGGTACTATAAGGGTTCTATACGGGTTCTATACAGGTACTATAAGGGTACCATAAAGGTTCTATATAAGGGTACTCTAAACGGGTTCCATAAGAGTTCTACAGGGGTGTATCAGGGTTCTATAAGGGTTCTTTCTGGGTTCCATAAAGGGCTCTTTCAGGCTTTCTAGGGTCGCAGGATCGGCTCACAGGTTTCATCACTGGGCCCCATCCTTTGCTTGGAAAGAGCGCTTGGGTTCTAACCCCAAAGACACGAAGACCCATCTTGTGACCGTAGAAACCCTTATAGAACCTTTATAGTACCGTTATAGTACCCCTGTAGATCATAAACCCTGTCGTAGACTCTGCATCATGGGAAGTCTAACTGCGCGGCACTGGGCCGCAAAAGGGATCATGATTTCGGACAGCCCCAAGAGGGAGGGAGTAAGAAAGATGGGATCTGAAGCATCATAACTCAATACAGGCTGAACGACCCAAGAACCCTAAACCCTAAGAGCTCTGAACCCTGAAACTCTGAACCCTGAAATCCCAACAGCCCAAAACCCTCAGAATGGAACTTGAAGCTCCATGTCCCGGGATTCCCGGCTTTCCCAGTTCTGCTGGATCTCTGCCTGAAGGGGGGACGGTCCAGGGGTTTCGGGGACCCTAATATAGTACCCTAAATACTAGGATCGTTATTATAAAGACCCCAAATTCAGGTACCCTTCTGGACTTGGCCTGTCCAAGCGTACTTGGGGTTTAGCATTTGGATGTATGTGGACCAACATGCCCAGACGGCTTCATGAAGCCCTACAAGTAGCACAGACCCAGTTTGTTTCTGCTCGCGTAAGTCTCCTCATAAGCTGCTTCTTAATCCCTCCTCTTGTCGAGGAACAGGTTGCGGAACTTGACTACTTGTGTCACTGCAGGATCCCTATGCCGCCGCTTTACGCTAGGCGCTACAACTGGCCAGCACGATGGCTGGAGATCCGAGAGACAAAACAACCCATAGAACCTAGCTTGCCCAAGCTTAGATTCAGCTGTTTGGTTATTATAATCGTGAATCAATAAGCTGTTTTTTGTTTATGAAATGGAGTACGTAATGTCCGAGAAGACGGAGAAAGAGACGGAAGCACACTCGTCAGTGCAAGGCATGATCTTCATGACCAAAATACCCTTCCCATACCGGAACCTCCTCCAATCTACATAAAACTCGTGCGATCAGTGCTTCGGGTTGAGATCGTGTCTTCACCCTCAGCCAATAACTCCAATCTTCAACACCTACCTCAACAAGGAATGCCGGCCTGGCGACCGCTTCGCTTGACAAGAAAGGGTGCAGCCATCTTCCTCCGCAATCGGGGGGCGGGGGGTTTGGGGTTTTGCAGGGTTGAGTAGTACGACGCAAGAGTCTGAACCGAGCAAATATCTTCCAAAACGGACATCCTACGTCCGACAATCCCAAAAACCCTCCAAAACCCGAAATGCTGAACACTAAAGGGCCTTAACTCCTATGCGTTCGAAGCGTAGGCAAGTCCGCCTCGTACACAGGCGGCCGCAATGCGTGCCATCAGCTGCATTGCGAGTGGGAAACTTTGGGATTCTAGCTTCATTGAAAACGGGGGCACTGGAAATTAGTGGCTCCCTGGTCTTATTCTTTGGGTGGGCGGGAGTGTCAGGGACCCTACTACTTTGGGTCTACATGGGTCTACATCAGGACCCATCATTTTCTGGGCGTCTTCTCACTACGCTCGCTCTGCCTTGAACCCATGGGCCTTGCACCCGAAATACTAAACTAAACCTTAAACCCCAAATCCTGAACCCTAAACCCTAAACCCTAAAGCCTACACTCCAAAACCCGAGCCCGAAACCCAAATCCATGAGCCCTCTCAACCCTGACACACCTAAGCCGAGAAGGCCAGGAGCCCCAAACGCGAAAGGAGGTGCCTTGCTTCGAAATCGAAACGGATCCAAACAAAGGAGGAAGGATTTAGATGTTTGGGGCTTCGGTTTAGAGTTTGGGGCGTAATGGTCAGGGGTTAAAAGGGCTTAGGTTTAGAGTTTGGGGCGTAATGGTCAGGGGTTAAAAGCTATTTAGGGTTGAAGGCTTTAGGGCCTCTAGGGTTCAGGGATTAGGTGTGGAATTCGGGTGGAGAGCCGAGGGTTTGGGGCCTCCGTGACAGAATTTGCATCGTGGAAGCAGAAATGTTTCAAATTTGTAGTTGGGGTTTAGGGTTTAGGGTTTAGGGTTTAGGGATCGACATACCTTCTTCTTGAGAGCAAGTGAAGTCTTCTGTGAAATGCTGCGCAGCTGAAGACTCCACCGAGAACCTGACCCACCTGTCAAATTTGGGTTTAGGGTTCAGGGTTTAGGGTTTAGGGTTTAGGGTTTAGGCTAAGCATAGTACAACTAGACATCACGGCACCATGCCCAAACAACGAATATGTTGCAATGCGGACTGATATATGATCGGCACCACGACCATGATAATCAGTGCTGCTGCCGACCACCGATTAAGACAGGAGAAACTGAAGCGAGAGCAGGAGCAAACATCAGCTGCATGAGACGCTCCGAGGCCTTAGATCCTGAACCCTAAACTCTAAACCCTAAAAAGCCTTAGATCCTGAACCCCACCCTACGCATGCCCGAACACTGCAAAGCCTAAGCTTCCTCGAACCTCCTCTGAAACACCTCCATCTCGACAGGTGCAACAGAAGCTGCGCAGCACAGTGCGGCGTACGGGTTCTTCACCGAGCAGACTTGCACCTCAGCAGGATACAAAATTAAAAGCTTGCCTGGCCTTGGGCTGGGAGAAACTCAAAATAATTCAAAGATGTATGGGGGCTTTTTCCCGTTGTTAGGGCCTAGAGTGTTTAGGACGTGCTTTCTCAGCTACCTTTGCAGTGCGAGACTGCGTCTGAAGTATGAGACACCAAGCCCAAAACACCAAAATCCCCAACTTTGACCATCAACATCACAAGCCTTAAACCTTCGCCCCAAACGCCAAAGCCTTAAAACATCCGATTTAGCTTGGACAACGAAAGCCCTAAACTTCCCTCAACTTTACCCCTAAACCCTGAAACATCCCATGGGGGTCGCCGAGATCCGGACGCGAACCGACTTGCCTCTTGCGCTCTCTCTGGGAGCTTCTGGCGAGTCCTTGAACGATAGAATTTCTGAGTGTTGATGCAGACTATTTGTGTCCAAACCAGGTTCGTTGGGTATATATGTAGATGGACATGTTATATATATATATATATATATGTGTGTGTACTAGTATATACATACATACATACATACATACATACATACATACATACATACATATATGCATATATACGTTATATACAGATATACATATGCGTATACATACATACATACATACATACATACATACATAGATACATACATACGTACATTCGGTCTCTCTCACGCACACCCGCAGACACGCTCCCGAACAGTTTCGGGTATTTGCTCGTGTCTAAAATTGACCTAAGTTACATTGCTAGCGCATGATGTTGAAGACAAGTCTACTGGCATGCGCGCAGGTCCTAAAGAACCAGACTGCAGGAGGCTTACTCCACAGTTTTCATGCTAGGGCCGCAGCGGCCCAAACGCACAGGTTGTTGTCGCAGGCGTTCTGGCAGGAGCGCTCTGGAAAGGAAAGAAGGAGAGCTCCTGCTGTCGCCTGAATTCTGTATAATCATTCTTTACAATCATTTGGGAGTTTCCGAAAATTAGGGTACCTTATTTTGGGGTCCTTATAATAAGGATCCTATTATCCTATTGTTTAGGGTACTATATTAGGGTCCCCTATTTTCGGAAACCCCCATTTACTCCCTGAAAACCTAACCAACACTATTACTATCCTAAACCCCACTAACTAACTTTCGGCCCCTTGGACCTTACGGCAGGAATCGAAAAGGAGGTCGCACTTTGGAACACACCGGCAAGGTCCGAGATCCGGGGTCCTACATGACTGCCCTAGCTACTATGAAGGGACAACAGGAGGGGCCCCTAGAAGGGACCCCTAATCCAAATACGCTATATAACCCTTATGTACCCCTTCTAGAGTCTCATAAAGCCCCTATATAACCCCAAGGGTCCCTTTAAGGGTCCCTCCTTTAGTCACTTGATACTAAACCATAACTTAGCCACCTACAGCCTACAGTCTTCATGGTTTAGGGATTCGAAATCTCCTGCTTTGGAGGAAGCCATAGACGCCATGGTTTAGGGATTCGAAATCTCCTGCTTAGGAGGAAGCCATACAAGGGATAGCTCTTTAGCGGTTTAGGGCAGCTCAGGGCTTCGGGCTCAGAGAGTTTGCGGGTTTACCCTTTGTGTAGTTCTCTAAACTAGGGTCCCCTTTTAGGTCCCCAATATAGTACGGCACCCTTATAAATAGGACCCTAAAAGGGACCCTAATTTAAAGAAACCCCATTTGTGTTACAAAATGTTCGCTCTTCCACTCGGGAACGGCACAGCGGCAACTAAAATTCAGCTGATCAATGCATGCGGCCCGCCACTACAGAACATTTACGGGAAAGGGGAGGTCTAGTTAGGGACCCAATGGGCATCAGCTTAAGATGTGTGTGGAGTGCTCTGTAAGAAGCATCTCCACTAGCAGCTCGGCCGATGCCACCTCTTCCGCCACAAACCCCGCAACAAATAATAACTCTCTGTGAATGTTCGCTGCGAGAACGGTGACGAATCAAGGCGAAATCGAATGTGAAGCCACAGCAGAGAACGCATGAGGCTTGAGGCTACTCTAAGACAGAAGTCAGGGAGATCCATACGAAAGAGTCCACGCTTTCTAGTTAGTACCCCAATGAGGAACGCTCTTCAAAGTCACTCGCTAGACTCCTTCATTTCCCTACGAAATCCGATGTCCTGAACCCAAGACATCGCAGCAACAAAGGATATGAAATGTCTGATCCTGGGCCAGTGTTTTTGCTGATGGCCTGCAAGAGGCAGCGCAGCTGGGCATTGCGGTCCGACCTCGATTGCGCTATGTAGGAGTCTGCATAGTCGGAATAGGGATTTGCAAGATAACACGGGCTTTCTGAATGAAGCGGATATTTAGAAGGGATTAAGGCAGGGTCTTGCATTTTGAAGAATCAGACTCAGGCGAAGGTTTGGGGGGGGGTAGATTCATGCATGTGCAATAGAAGGACTAAAGGGATTACTACACACTAAGTAGTATGAATTATTCAGATCTACGTTGTATAGTAACCTCCGAAAGTTACAAGCCCGCCCCCAACCCAAAGCCCAAGACAGTAGATCATGGAAGGGTATATAACCCGGTAATCCCCAATTCTCCCTAGTACTCCCTTGGGTTCCCTAAAGCTCCCTAGGACCCTCCCCCCTTGAGCCACTCTCCCTTAAGGATCCTATAAGAAGAGCGTGCTGTCGGGCCCGAGGCGCAAAACCGCGGGGCAACTACCTGAGCCCCAAGACCGTCCCCTCCAGTCATGGGGATGTCAGTTGAATAGAAGCTGACTGTCCTCTCCAGGCTTGTCTGCCCAGTTTTGACTGATAACCCCAAAATATGAAACCCAAGCCCAAAAAATGCTCAACCGGAAGACGGCAAACAGCTTGAAAAACCACCCATTCCTGCATTGTCAAGCTTACAAGCCTTGTTGTGCAAACCCAGTTAGTTATGCACCCTCATAAACCCCACGATTAAACAAAAACTTTAAGCCCTGTCCTAAACTCATAAACTATATGGCAACCCTTACCCATATATGCCCGATGAAACACCTCTTTTGCCCAAACCTAAACCCTAACCCTAAAACTACAAAGAAGGCCTGCCAAGTGCTAGGCAGTATCACCAAGGTATGGCACTGACTCTTGCGTAGGTTCCGGATGAACCTCAAAGGAGCTGCTCTTGTCTGGGTGCTTAGGGTTTGGGGACCAGGGATTCGGAAGCGAGGCCTAGGACCCCAAGGTGGTTTGTTTAGGCTTCGGGTATGGGGTTGAGCGGCCCTACCACGGCCTACTGGTTTGCAGGACCCCTGCAGACTAAAATCGAAGCCACCCTACAAAAAGGTAGTCTAAGACACCGTGAAAAAGGTAGGTCTCTATTCGAGGATGCAAGAAGACCCCGCAACAATGTAGGCTGTTTTTTCAAGGCAGGCTTCTGGCATCGATGCTATCAACAGTCTGCAGGAATCCTCAGGGAGGGCTTAGGGGCTTAGGGTTTAGGGCCTCAAAATCCAAGTTTGGCATCTGCGGTGTTGCGCTACTGCTGCACATCTCTCTAAGCTCAAGTCGACAACACAGCCGATGTTTACAAAGCACTCAACCTGAAACCTAAAGGGCTCAAGAGATCCAGACGGTATAGGCCCTATACAGGAATGATGCGGGACTCCCACATCGTGAGCTCCCTCCTCCGATCCCTGAGAAGCCCCAGATCTGGGTGCATGGGTTTTGGGCTAAGGATACCTGGGCCTTGGTTTACTTGGGTTTAGGCTTAAGGGTACGTGGGTTTAGGGTCTAGGTTCCTTTTGACTCGTGCTCGTGTAGAAGGCCTGACTGCCCAATAACTGCACCCAAGAGGCAATCGGATGTCCTCCGGCAGGCACCGCAGGGTATGTTAAGGATTCAACCCTAAACCCCTAAACCCCTAAACCCTAAACCCTAAACCCTAAACCCTCAAGCGCCAAAACCGAGAGGTAGGCGTTAGAAGGCTCAGGGATCCCAAAGCAATCAGGCTTAACAGCAGACCTGTGCTTCGATGCTCTCATTTCCAACTTATGTAGTACCCATGGGCCCCATAGTAGTTCCTTTGTGGGATTACCTAATAGGATCCTAAATATAAGCCCCAACAAGGAGCTACTTTGGGGTCTATGGGTAGTGTAGAGCTTCGTAATGCCGGCCAGAAGTTTTGGGATGAAGGGTTTCGAAATGGATGGTGTTGGGGCACAGGTTGGAACCAAGCCAGGAAATGCTTCTAATGGTTTCGGAACGGGGACACAAACCTGGGATCCCAGAAGCACCCCGAAAAACTGAATGCTTACGAGTAGGATTTTGTAGTGGAGGTTTATTTCATCGGGAACTAGAAGCGGACACGACCATGTACTAAGAAGTATTCCGAAGATTTGTGCCCGCGGGAAGACTCAGACTGGCAAGTGAAAAACGGCTTGGGGTTTAGGGATTGGGGTTGAGGTCTTAGGGTGTAGGGCTTAGGGTCATGGCATAGGGCTTAGGGCTTACGGTTTTAGGGCTTTGGGTTTAGGGTTCTAGAAGCATTGCATGCCGCACTGCGCCCTGAAAGCGCTCCGTACCGGGACTTGAAACTCTACAGCAGGGCCGGGGGGCAGGGTGCATTATATCAGAGCTCGAGACGGAGTGTAAGCCCATACGGAATCATACTGAGCCCTACTTAGTAGTAGAGTAGGTAACCTGTAACCCTTTGGGGGCACTTTCTTCCCGATACTATCCCAAAGGTTAACCTTGAGTCCCCCATGATACCGGCCCTAAAGCCTAAACCCTACACCCTGGCCTACATTGGCCTTGCCCGGGCACCGAATTACAAGGTCCTTTGGACCCTTCGGGGTTGCACTGCACTGGCAGCCCAGGAATCCCAGGCCTATGAAAACAGCGCTCCTGATCCCCTTAACGGTTTAGGGTATCGGGGTTTAGGGGTTTAGGGTTTAGGGTTTAGGGGTTTGGGGTTCAGGGTTTCGGCTTTAGGGTTTAGGGATTGGGGTTTAGGGTTTAGGGTTTATTCTCAAGTCCAACGGTAACCTCCGCAGCTGCTGAAACCTTTCCGGGTTCCCGATTCTTCATGTAAGCACCCTACATGACGATCGTTGTCCATTAAGGTTCCCTCTCCATCAGCCCATCCCTGGCCTTATCATTTTAGGGTTTAGGGTTTAGAGTTTTAGGGTTTAGGGTTTAGGGTTTAGGGTTTAGGGTTTTAGGGTTTAGGGTTTAGGGTTTAGGGTTCAGGTCCTCCAGCATCAACTGACAACCTTATCCTTGCAAGCAGCCTTGCACCCAGAAGTCGAAGAGGTCCAAGGTCTGGCGTCTGAGCCCTTATTCCGGGGCCTAAATAATGACCCATGCCATTTTGCTATGGTTCTCGTAGAATGTACCCCAAAACCTTACTCAAACTACTGAGGCCCTATATCAAAGATCCTTTATAGTAGCCCTTAAGGGAATCCTGTTCTAAACCCTAAACCCTTATTAAGGCCCTGATAGTACGCCGACTAGCCCTCTGAGCTAAGGCCTCGGGACCCCAAGCCTAAGAGCCCTGCGCCAGTGTCTGAGATCTTTACCCCGTCCACATGCTTGGGGTTTAGGGTTTAGGGTCATGGTCTAGGGTGTAGGGTTCAGGGTTAGGGTTTAGGGTTTAGAACTTGAGGATTAAACCCTAAATGGCCTAAACCTTATTGTGGAACCCACAGCATAGCCTCGTGACCGAGCATCTCGCTCGACATGATGACCTCAGAGGAGCCAACAGATCGACAATTAGGCGAGTAGACTGTTGAGAGCCTCACCGCTTACGATATTTAGTAACAATAAGAAGAATCAGAATAACAATAACCCAAACATTGGATACAGTAGTATTGGTGATGCTATTTTTGATAATTATTTTCTGAAGGGGGGGTGAGGCCTAAACCCGGTTCGACCAGGTTGATCCAAGTAGGTTACCCAGCTGCTGGCTGAGCTCGCGACCCCTTTGCCAGGGCCGCGAAAAGGCAAGGCGATCCTGTTGTCGAAGATCATGGCTTTAGGGTTAAGGGTTTAGGGTTCAGGGTTTAGGTCTTAGGGTTTAGGGTTTAGGGTCCAGAGCTTAAAGTTTAGGGTTTAGGGTTCAGGGTTGGGGCTTAGGGTTTAGGACTTAGGTCTTTGTTTAAGGGTGCAACGGCCTTTCACACTGTTAGCGCGTCTTGCCTGCGCCACTGAGGCTCACACCAAGGGCAGAAAACTTAGGGTTTAGGGTTCAGGGTTTAGGGCTTAGGGTTTAGGATTTAGAGTTTAGGGTTCAGGGTTCATGGCATGCAGAACACTCAGCACCCACCACGATCATCACTATATGTAATGCGAGGCAGCAGCAGCTATATTGGTGGCTTCGAACATAACGTTTACAGAATAAATAAGTCGTCTGCCGTTGACGAGGCAGATGATATATGGCAGTTGCGCAATCTAAGTTCGGAGCAACCTGATTGCACGCATAGGAATGCAGATCCTACTATCTAAGGTCCATGTCCCATCCTTGCTTTCTGAAAACCTGGCCACTGTTGAATGGACTGCGAGGTGCTAGCAAACAGCTTTGCTGCACGAGCACTGGACTCACACGTCCGCGCATCTTTCTTGAAATCTGACAATGATGCTGCTGCCAAGCGAGAACGCGCCGCAAGCACCCGCACTGAGTGTCGACTGCATCCGAAACAACTGAAAACCCCCCCTCTCCCCAACAAAAAAAAACATGACGCATGTCGCACGTCCTTCGAGCACATTCGCATTCTAACCAGTTTTGTCACTAGAAGAATCTTGCCCCAGGAAGTGTGTTTTCAAATTGCTTGAGACGGGCTTGCACAGGCGCCGTTGGCATGATTGCGCGGATTTTTTTTGCAAGTGAACATATCTACAGTGAAAGCTTGCAGCAAGACGAATCTTACACGTATTTCTTGTGGTTCCCTTATGAGTACTTGTAACAACTACAACATCATATACGCCAAAACACACTCTTCTAATTACTAAGGCCCACGTGCGTGTGTATATATATATACATACATACATACATACATACATACATACATACGTACATACATACACACATACATACATACACACACAAACATACATCCATCCATCCATCCATCCATCCATCCATCCATCCATCCATCCATCCATCCATCCATCCATACATACATGTACGCATGCGTGCATGCATGTATGTATGTCTGTATGTCTGTATGTCTGTATGTCTGTAATGCAACTATGTATGTCCGTCGTCTGTCTATCTGTCTGCCTGTCAGTCTATATGTCTGTGTGCCTGTATGTATGTATGCATATGTATATATATATATATTATGTTATTAGCATCTACATTTATAGTTGTGTTATATAGATATGATCCTCGTGGCAATCTTTGTGTGCAACTGGAAGTGCTCGAGGAGCCAGGGCACCTGTCAACGGGGCGACGACACCACGACCATACAGCAGCCTTATAGTGGGAAAAGGGCTGGGGGTATACTATACAAAAGCCCCATATACTTAGATGGGGACTGTAAGGAATACTATTACTGATTTATCAGGCCGCTACATTGCACGCACATCAGAATGTCGAATAAGGGTGTCTGGGCCTCCACAAACGTAAGCGTCACAAACTCCTCGTCTTCCTCCTCCTCCTCCCCCTCCTCGTCGTCGTCATCATCATGGTCATCATCATCATCACCATGACCATCATGAACCAACTGTTCTAGAGAAGTAGCTAAGGAATCCGGCAGTCATACCAAAAGTGGTCGTTGCCGTTCCGAGGCTATGAATGCTTCATGCCCGTGGCCAAAAGCAAAACAAGCATCAACAGTCCGTGTGGACGGTTTAGGGTTTGGAGTTTAGGGTTCAGGGCTTAGGGTAGCACTCAACGTAATGATCCAGACAAGCGCTTAGCTGAATTCGAAAGGGCCAAGTGAAGAGACACGAATGATACTTTAATTTGGTCGTCGCCCAAAGATATTTCTAGAAAAGCCCGCAGGAAGTGCCATGCCGCAGCGGCAAGTACAATCTCACATGATGCCAAGATGACAATGATAACGAAGAAGAGGCCAGCACGACGGAGGAGATGCACAAAAAGACAACCATGATGGCGATGATGTCTGGAATCGCTCAATTCTAAACCCTGAACCCAAGCCCCGGAAACCTAAAATGTGAGCATTTTGGAACAACACAATCACTCAGAGCTCAGGGTCTGGTACTTTTCTTCCTGCTATGATGCGCCATCTTCTGGCTACCACCAGTTTGCTATCTAATGTATGTGATCCTCGCTCTTTGCTCTACCTTTCGCGCTCGTCAGCGTTTCATGAACGACAGAGAGACTCTGGCCTCGTGCGCAGGAGGCCGACGGCACGAGAAGTCTTGAAGATCGCAGAGCCAAGAGAGGGCCTCCTGCATTGCAGTCTTTGCTGCCATTTAAGCTTTGGTGGTGCTGATTCAGGTCCCTTCGCCAAAGAATTTGGCTTCGGGGTCTATTGTACTATTATCTATAGCAAGTGGCTCTGCGGAATCGCATTTCGAAATCATCCCTAAGATAGGGCCTTAATGATTAGAATTCATCCCGCACCTGTAGTTTAAGGCTTGCTCTCGAGCTCGGGACATGCGGAGGCCGGCTTTCAAGAGCCTTCAGCACAGGGCTTGTGGTTTTTCGGGGTGTGGGGCTTTTAGGGGTTTAGGGGTTCAGGGAGTACGGGAGTTTCCGAAAATATGGGATACCTGAATTGGGGGTCCTTGAAATAAGGATCCTACTATTTCGGGTGCTATATTAGAGTCCCCTATTTTCGGAAACACCCTTTCGGTGGGGCTTACGGTTTACGATTTAGGACTCTCTGTCTTCTTCCCTAGAGAAGGCGAAGCTCTGTAATGGTCTGGATTTAAATTTTAGGGTTTAGGGGCTTGGCTTTTTTTGGCAGGGACTGGGCTTAGGGTTTGGGGTTCAGAGATTTAGGGTTTAGGGCTTGGGATTCATTGTCCAAAGCCCGAAACCCTCAAGTGGGGAGTAGTCAGCAGGTGGTGTGGAGTCGGTAGTAGGCAAGCAATGTAGTCGGTAGCAGGTGTAGATGTCGACAGCATGGAGTAGGTAGTCTTCCCTCGTTAGTAGTCAGTTAGTCGCTGCTGCTGTTGATGAAGAGAATTACTTCAATGATGTTCCTGACACGGACGATGATGATGGACGCCAACGAAGGCGGTGATGAGCAAGCCGCGATGGTGATGATGACCATCACCCGCCCGTGCTCTTCGTGATCACAATGGTGATGATGATGCTCCTGGCGATGATTAGGTGAACAGGAATATTGTGGTGGGAAAAGCCATGGGCAGACTAAAGCGACGCATTCAACAGGACGATTGATCAGATGATCGTGGTGATGTGGAGGCAGATGGCGGCGGTGGTTGGCCACGACGGATGAGAACAAAGAAGAGGACTCTTCTTATTCTTCTGTCCCTTCTTCTGGATTTGCCTCTTTTCGCAGCAGGACGCTGAATGACCAGTCTGCCTGCGGTGCTTTAAGGCGTAGGTGTTTGAGGCTTATAAGGCTTAAGGTGCCATAGGGTAATACAGGGGCCTTAATAATTAGAATAGGGTTTTGGGGCCCACTATACTAGAATTATAATATTGAACCACCAAAATAACATAGGTAATTATTTAGGCTCCTACAATACTGCAAGAGTTTCCAGGGTTGGCCCTGCTGTGTTCAGCAACGAACCAGCGAATGCGCATGGTAACTGAGTAGCTGCGCCGATCTCTGCATCATGTTCAATCAGCCAGAAACTGAACATAATTGCAACGTATATACATATATATATATAAGTACTTATTCGTTTAGTAATGTATATATTTATATATGTACATATACACATATTATATATAATTGTCGTTTTTAAGAAAACTGCTTCAAGTTCTCCTTCGTGAAGACTTGGGCTTCTGTCTCCATGTGATTTCCTGCTGAGAAGGACACTGAATTAAGGGATCCCACACTGCGAAAGACGACCTTGGGTGGGCCCCTGGATCATGAAGTGAAGGGTTTAGGGTTTAGGGTTTAGGGTTTAGGGCTTAGGGTTTAGTGTATTCTTGAGTGAAGAGCACCAAGTTCATACCGACACGTGTTACACAGACCGATGAGAAGCCAACATCAACGTCGCCAGCAGTGCAATCGGAGCAATCCTGCTGACACGGATAGCAAACAGCAGTGGTGCGAGCAAGTGGGGTGCTAGTGCTCGCAGGAGGAGCCTCCCCAGTGGTGTCACCCGTGTTTGCTCATGCGACTTATAAGCGACTGTGAGACCATGGTAGCAAAACAAAGCATGGGCAACCTAAGCAAGCGGACAACAACAATCCGGCTTTCCAATTCTCCAGCGCAAGACCTTACCCGAACAGCCCCCAAGTGCCAAACAGTGAACCGAAGGACCCAGACCCCATGTGGGTAGTTCTCCAAATGAGGGTCCCTTTAAAGGTCCTCAATATAGTACGGCACCCTTATAAAAAGGACCCAAAAGGGACTCTAATTTAGAAAACTGCACATGTGCAGACTGCCTCTTTGGCAAGACCCATGGCCTAGGCTTTGGGACTTGCGGTTGGAGGTTGAGGGTTTTGGGCTTCAGGCTTTGGGGTTCAGGGTTTAGGGTTTAGTTTAGGGTTTAGGGTTTCAGGCTTTGGGGTTTTGGGCTTCGGGGTTTGTGGCTCTGGGCGTCTAGGTTTGGGGAGGCTTTTCGGTGCAGGCGTCAAGGCGTCTGGCTTTGGAGTGTTTTCAGGGGTGTTTCGGGATTTATGGATGGTTGGACGAAGGGGGCTTGGGGTTCAGGGCTGGGCACACCAAACTTACTTCGCAAGGGCGATATCGCCTCCGAAGCATGTTCAACATATGGGTAGTTCTCCAGACTAGGGTCCCCTTTTGGGTCCCCAATGTAGTACGGCACCCTTATAAAAAGACCCCAATTTAGAGAACTACCCACATACCTCCCACACACATCCCCACCTCTTGCGCTGACTGAGTCTCGGACCCAACGCCCCACGAAACTGAAAGCTGCTCGGACATCAGCATCTCGGAGAGGACCTTCTTGGCCTCAGCCCTAAAACCCTAAACCCTAAGCCCTAAGCCTTAAAACCCTAAACCCCTAAACCCTAAACCCTAAGCCCTAAAACCCTAAACCCCAACCCCTAAACCCTACAACCCTAAAAACCCTAGGCCCTAAAAACCCTAAACCCTAGAATCCTGGACCTTCTTGGCCTCAGCTGCACAGGACTTTGGGATGCGGGATAGAGGTCTCAGGTTTCAGGTCACCAATCTCAGCCTTACCTGGGCCCTAAAGAAGCTACCCTTTGGAGGCTTTATATACGGAAGCTACAATAAGGCTCCCTAAAAAAGTTGGGTTTTTATAGGGTCCAGGTGAGACTTACATCCTCTTTGGCTGCGCAGGCTTCCAAAAGCGCTTTTGACTTACAGGGTCGTCACTTTGAGGTTTAGGTGCCTGGGGTCCCTGTAAGGGTATCTTTAAGGGTATCCTCTACCTGCACCCCACATGCTAAACCCTACAAAAACCCTACTCCTTCAACCATGACACCCCGTTGAACTCAGCTACCTCAGACATGCGCCTCCTCGTCGGGGATCGATGGGATCGATAAAGGTCACCTGCAGACTTCCGAATTGCTGTCTAGCACCAACAGCACTTTTCGATGTAGTTCACCTACTTAGGTACGTAGAGGTTTACAAGATTCGGAATCCCCAAGACTAGCCGGCAATGCAACTGTCCCCATTGAAAACCTGAGACAAAGATAGGATGCCAAATCCGGAAACGGGATAACAGCGACTCTCAGATAATCGGGGAGAGAGAGAGAAAGAGATACAGAGATAGCGACAACGAGAGAGCGAGAGAGAGGGAGCTGACTGAGAGAGAAAGAGAGAAAGAGAGGGAGGAAGGGAGGGAGGGAGGGAGGGAGGGAGGAGGGCAGGGCGAATTCGATGCTATTAAACAAACTCTTGAGCCACGGAGAGACCCAGCTTCGAGCCTCACCGGGCGCTGCGCGAACACGGAAATCCAAATCTTCGAGACCTGACCATCGGAAATTGCTTGGACGCTTGACCTGTTAGGGTTTTCTTAGGGCTTAGGGGATGGGGGGATGGGGGCGGGTAGGTGGGTTCAAGGGTTAAGGGTTTGGGGTCTAGCGTGTATCGGGGAATGAAGGCTCTACTTAGCACTAAACTGCTTTCCATGCTCTTGCAATGTAATCATCATAACAATGAGCCCCGATAATTGTCTATGCCGGCGGTGATCAGTCGAAATCATGGCCATACAGTACACATGCATTAGCCAAAAACATATTATCGTTGCAAAAGTAGTAGAGCAGTGATAGTAACACTGGAAATAGTAGTATTGGTAGTCAGTAGCAATGTCACTCGCAATATGAGTAATGGAACTACTAGTAGTGGTTGTAACAGCTGTGCTGGTCGAAGGGTCGATACTGGGTTTGGGGTTGTTTGGGTTCTGCTCATCTTCTGAAATGGTTTAGCTTAAGACTTTAAATGCGAGACAAGTATGTAGCCTGGCTGTTTGGAAAAATCAGGGAGTTCTGGCACCCCTTTCTGGTTTCTATCCGTAGTCATAAGCCTTTACCAGGCCTGGATGCCTAGGGAATTATAACTGCTCTTGCGCCCGGACTGCCTGGGCGGGGAACATGTAGTTGGTCAGCCTTTTTGACTCAACTGAAGCTTACTTGGTAAGGCTTACTTATTGAATCTTAATTACTTTGTCGCTGGTGTTTCGCTGTTTTGTTCGATACATGTTCGCTACTCTTGTGAACGTTGTTGTCAGTGGCTCCTCAACTTCAGCGACCAAAAGTTGGCACCAGGAGTTGTCCAAACACTCCACATCTAAACCCCTAAACATAAGGAGGCTCTTCATCAATTAAGTTTTCAGCATTTAGATCAGGTAGTCCCTTACACCCCAATCCCGAATTCCAAATGCTAAACTCTTATAACCCAAAACGACCCGAAACTAGTCTCCCTAAACCTTACGCACCAAAGCTTGTAGCTTCCACCGGGGAGATCTTGGGGGCGCCACCGCAAACACAGCCAGCACCTTCCAGAGGTCGCCAGGATGCAGGGTTCTGTTGGGTGATCTTGGGATTTTTGGTTCAGTTGTGGCTGCGGGTGTGGCGTCTATGCGCTTTGCAGGCAGAGTGCAGGGCGCCTGAGCTTATGCTGCAGAGATTAGGGTATTTTATGGGGGTAGGGTTACGGGCTCGTGGAGGAACAGCATGCTAGTGCATGAGGTGCCGCAGCTCCGGAAGGGGAGTTCAGGGTTTCCCGTCCCAATGAAACCATTCTGGTTCATGATTGCCATCATGGCGGCCATGGCAGTTTAGCTTCTGGTACATGTGGGTAGTTCCTAAACTAAGGTCCCCCTGATAGATCCCCCAAAACAGTACGGCACCCTTATAAAAGGGACCCCAAAAGGGACCGTAATTCTGAACTACCCGTTTAGGTTTGGGACTTCCGATCTCCCCCAAGGCTCTTGGACGAATCCCCAACTGTCAAACCGTCGCTGCGCTGTCTTTCCCCATAAACCCGAACAGCAACGGCAGAAACCCTGAGCCCAAATGTGAACCCAAACAACCACAATAAGCCGCAAGACCCCCGAATCCTGTGTCCACCGAACCTTTGTGCACCCTTCTCAAGGGTTTAGGGTTTAGGGTTTAGGACCTACCTTGACCAGTCTCAAGCCATAACCACGTCCACGACCTGAAACACAAATGTCCAAAACCCTCACAACGTACAATACCAGAGCAAGTTAGGCTACAACTTCTAGGCCCAGTCTGCAAACTCATGTTCTGAAGTACGACGCAACTCAACATACCACCGGTTCGTTAAAATGAATTGCGACGATGGCGCGGCCGAAGTCACTGGTAAGCCCTACCTGGCAGGAGTTCGAAGAGGCAGGGCTCATGGTCTTGGAGTTTGAGTGTTGGTTTAGGGTTTAGGCGGTTTAGGGTTTAGGGTTTGAGGTGAAGGGGGGCTGTACAACACGGTGTTCGCCAAGGGCTATACTAGCGGTACCAGCGATTACGCCTTATGGTTGCAATTAGCCTTGCCTGGATGCCCAGTAAATCGTCCTTCATGACGGCATAGAGACTCACTGCTTCAAGTTGTCAGGGCAGATAGGTGAAGTCTGTTTGTCCTCTTGTTTGTTGTCCATGACGGCGGCCAGGGTTCACAGGGCCCGGGTCCCGGGTGTTTCGACTCTACGAAGATCTTCCCCGGGACGCGAAAAGTGTCTCCAGTTCCGCCAAAGGGACTATATGGGTTTTTGGGCCAATGACATATGTACTGGAATTTCTGTAATTTGGCCCGCCCCTTTGTCGACACCTATAAGAGGACACTAGGATTTCTTGAGGCCTTCATCACAGCGCCGGCCTTCTTCAAAGCTCTTCTTTGCGTGGAGATCCGCCGAGTGCCCCCGGCGGCGACGGTGAGGGCACCAAACTTAGTTGCTAAAAAGGCGAGCCGGGCTTGAATTTCAGAGGCGGCCATGTTAAGCAACGGCTCAGCCAGGGTTGTGATACATTCAAGGGCAACTTGGCCAGACGAAGCTCAGCCACTCGGTAATATAGGGGCCCTAATGATTAGACTAGGGTTTTGGGGGGCATATTATTCTATGCTTATAATGCGGAACCCTCCAAAATAGTATACGTAATTATTTAAGCCCCTATTAGCTTGCAGAAGATAAGACTTCCGGCTTGGCTTGATTAGAGTAGAGAGCTTGTGTCAAACTACTTGCGGCTGTTGCATGTCCTTTGAGACATTGCATGATCCCACGCTCAACCCTGAGGGCTCTACTTGAACCGATGCTAAACATAAAGCCTTTAATCTTTAATGATACAGTAAAAGGTTATATCATAGTCAGTTGCTGAGACGAAAGAAAGGTATATCTTTCGAGAGGATCCGGCAAACTCCAGAGGTCCACGCTCCTCACGAACCGCGAAGAGAGGGCGTCGCTGTTTTGGGTGTAGCCTTCTCATCGAACTGGCCAGGTTCCTAAATGCCGGAGAATGATGTAGGGTTTAGTGCAACGATCTCAATCCACGCAGGCGTGCCACTAGCACAATGTAACGTGCCTCTCCCAAGGCAGTCCCCGATGACGAGAGGCTATCTGGGGGAAGGCAACCCGCCATCTACACAATGAACTCGGGAGGCCGTGAGTCCTAAACCCTTCATTCCCAAGACCCTGAAACTATGCAGGTGTATAGATCCCTGTAAGGGAACCCTAAAAGGGACCCTATAGAAACCTTGGCAGATCCCTTTCAGGGAAAACACCGAAGCCCTGGCTACGGCCAGCCCCGAAGCTAGAATCCTGCTGCACCGCAGCCATGTCAGTTCCGTATCCATCCTAAACCCTAAACCCTAAACCCAAAACCCGAAAAACTCCTGGAAACTGCTCAATCCAAGCGGCGAAAGAAAGGAGCGCCAAACTGCTGGTGCTTTTCACAATCTAAAGCTCTAACCAGACCTTACTACAGAAGTTTAAAACCATCCAAAATCCTGCCCTCAGGCAAACAAAACGCCCTAAGCCTGTGTAGAACTCTAAGCAAGCACACCACCTCCCCTCGTAATTGCTAAACCCTCAACCCTTTCTTTTAACAAACAAACTACACCCATGATGTGCCCCCTAAAGCCTATAAACCCCAACCAAACCCGAAACCCTAAAAGCCCTAAAGCCCTAAAGCCTAAACTCTCCCGCCCGCTTTTGTATTCTGCCCGGGGGCACCGAAACCGGGGCTCTGGCCCAAAGCTTGCGCTCGGAGCCCGGCGCCAGGTCCTGGCTTCGGGCCTTTTTTTGGTCCCTTTTCCCTTTAAAGGGTACTAGGTTTAGGGTTTAGGGTTTAGGGTACTTTAGGGTTCTATCATGGGGTCCCTTTATATAAAGGGTACTGTAGGGTTCTGTAATGGGGTCGCTTTGAAGGGTACTATAGGGTTCTATAATGGGGACCTATAAGTTTTTGGTTCGGTGGTTTTGGGTCTCAGGGTCTAGGTTTTCAGGGGTTTGGGGTTTTGTGGTTTCGGTTTAGAGTTTGGGGTTTAGGATGATCTATAGTTTCGGATTTAGGGTGTAAAGTGCATATGGGTTAGGCTTTAGGTTCAGGGTTTCAGGTTTTACAAACTTGGACATGCCGAGCCTTGACAGTCGGACTTGGCATAGCCGGCCAAGGCTGCGTCACGAGTGGCCTGGCACCATTACTGTGGGGAATAGGATCATTAGGATTTAAGGCTTGGGGTTTACGGGTCTTGGGCTTTGGGGTTTGGGGGGTGTATGACGGTTTATGCAAGGACGGTCTTGAAAACGGCACGTGTTCGGGGCGTTGGAGGTGGGGGGGGGGGGGGGGGGGGCCATGGGCTTCATCGTCAGAGACGTAAGTGGCATGGGTGCTTTTGTGCTTTGAGGTTTAAGGGCCCTTGGGGGGCTAGTGCCTTGGGGCTTTAGGCTTCGGGCCGAGCCCAAAGCCTAAGACGCGTAATCTGAAGTTGAACCGAAAGCCCTCAATCCTAAAGGAAGACTAGCAGGGTCAATCCTACAGGAAGGCTAGCAAGGAGAAGTTCGGGAGAAGAGTCTTCTGGCGCCCAGGGCATCTTGGGCGGCAGATTGACGAACAGATTTCTCTCGCTCTCTCTCGCTCGCTTTCTCATTGCTATATGTGTGTACCCATTCGCACATATGGTCATATATGCACGCAAAGGTATTTGTGTTCACAGTTATACGCGGGAAAAGGGATAGATAAGTAGATAGATACGATAAGACAAGAAAAGATGAGATTAGTTGAGATGAGATGAGATCAACCCAGATAAAATGAGATAAGATACGGCAAGATAAGATAGAGCCATGGATAGATAAGACCTTACGGTGGAAAGACATCACGAAAGATAGACGGGTCCTCAGATCGATAGACTGGTAGATCCAGACAGAGAGACAGAGGGAGAGAGATAGAGAGAGGGAAACAAAGAGAGAGAGAGAGAGGCAGAGAGAGAGAGAGATAGAACAAAAAGGGAGAGAGAGAGAGAGAGAGCGAGAGAGAGAGAAAGACAGAGAGAGAGAGAGAGAGAGAGATAGCGAGCGAGGAGGGAGGGATGGCTTAGCGGCTTTTCTTTGGGGGTTTAAGACTTCAGGTGTTTGCTTCATCAGCCTGAAGCCCAGTAGTGAGTAGTGCCCGGGGTCTAAGGCGTGGACCCGAAACCCTACACCCTTAATCCTACACCCTTAACCCCTAGGGCTTGTGGTTTGCACCTTCGAGTCTTCTGCATGCATTTGACCTTCGTAAGGCAGCAACTTCAGACCCACAGCTGGCAAGGCCAAATCCCTCAAGAGTTAAAGGGTTTAGGGCGTAGGGTGTAGCCACGGTGTAGGGTTTAGGGTTTAGGGTTTAGGCGGTTTAGGGTTCAGGGTTTAGGGTGCAGGGTTTAGTGTTTACCTTCACCCCAAAGAGCCTATACCTTTCTAAGGACTTATATAAGGAAACCATCACAAGGAACCCCAAAAAGGTAGGTTATTTGGGGTCCAGGTAGGGTTTAGAGCTTTGGGGTTTAAGCCCGAAGCTCTGAGCCATCCTCTGGCCTCTGCTCTACCCTGCAGGTGCTGTGGAAGCTCTCATCCAAACAGAAGCAAGAGCTAATTTAGGGGTTTGGGTTTTTGGTTTAGGGTTTGGGTTTAGGGTTTAGGGTTTAGGGTTTAGGGTTTAGGGTTTAGGGTTTAGGGTTTAGGGTTTAGGGCCTAAAACTTCAACCCCCAAAACCCCAAAGATCGTCGCGTGCATCTTTTCCCGACTTACTTCGAAGAAGTGCTCGTCCAGAAGCTCGATATCGGACAAAATCGCAGCTTTCGCATAAGAACTGAAGCCCTACAAGCAGAAATCCAAAGGAATCCCAGAAGCCCAGCATCCTGCTAACAATAGAGCTCAGGGTTTAGGGTTTAGGGTTTAAGGTTTAGGGTTTAGGGTTTCAGGTTCTAGGGTTTAGGGTTTAGGGGTTTGGGGTTTAGGGTTCTGGGTTCTGGGTTCTAGGGTTTAGGGTGTTAGGGCTTAGAGTTTAGGGTTTAAGGTTTAGGAGTTAAGGTGCAGGGTTTCGGGCCTGCCCCAAAGCCCGCGTCTAGACTTTCGAAGCTCCGCACGGTTTATCAAGCTTATGACACTGACACTCCTTCGTCAATACACCAAGATGTAGAAATACCAATCTTAAGTAGGATTACAAAGATGAAACCTGCACTATTGCTCCTGTTTCTCGCAGGCTGTCCCTCATGCTGCCTCTGCCTGGAGGGTGCTCTAAATGATGGTTCTCTTTAGCGGTACCTGTCTGAATAGTCGCTTATCGTTGTCGACTGGAAAAGCATCATATCTGAACAGGGCTGTAGGTTTTGAGGATTCCCAATTCCTCTTCATGTAAGGACACCTGGCTGAATCACCCTGCCAGCGTCCCTCCAAGAAGCCGGTCGGTCGACTCGTAAGCGTCTTCAGCCTAGTGTGGCCCTACTGTCCATCCAATGGGGAAATAGCAAAGAGCATAACAGGGCACGGCTCCTCAATCAATATCAAAATAGTGACCAGATATGACCAGATTGCGAACCCCTCCATCTAGAGTACCATGTCCCTCTTTAGTCCTTAGTAATGCTAGGTTACAAAACTAATGCCGACTGTAGAACATGAAAGGCTTCAAAGGCGCTGACTCCGAAGATGGAGGGGCACATCAAACTTTGCATCATAGATACATTTACGATCCCAAAGGCTCCATGTACCTTTATAGTAGATACTTAAGCCCTAAAGCACCTATATTATAGGGACCCATTTTAAGGCTTAAGTAACTACTATAAAGGTACATGGAACCTTCGGGGATGGTGATTCCTACTCCTCGTCCTCGTTCTTGTCCTAGTCCTTCTGGTCCTCCTGGTCCTCCAAGTCGTCCTAGTCGTCTTAGTCCTAGTCACGGAACTACGCCTCATAGGCCTGCTACTGCGACTACGATTGCATGGGCTGCAACTGCTAGAATAAGTACCGGCGCGACGATTCCTCCTAGTACTCTGATGGTTTTCCTTCGTACATGACAACTGCTGCTGTCACCGTTGAGTTGGCCATGCTGATAACGTACCTGCCCTCGACCGCAGCTTTCGTGGAAGGGGCGTTCTGAGCAGTGGCAAGCGCGAGAAATATTGGAAGCGCCATGCTGGCATCGCCTTGGCATGGCGCATGGGGCTGCGCAGGGACCTTCACCAAGACGGTCGGCCGGATGATCATGTGTCCTCTACCTTACAAGCTGTCCAGTCGTCCCTTTAGTGACGGTCGGAGGGAAAGCCGAAACTTTTGGGTTCGGGCTGTAGAGAAACCGCTACCGTGCTTGCAACAGGTGACCAAGAGCCCCGTCAATATCAGAATGTAGTCACACGATTCCGTGTCCCCCATGCTCAGGTTTACAAAAAAAGTTGAAGGGCTCGACGAAGATATCTGCACATACTCCCTTGTCTAACATCGCTTTGTAATAATTCACATACACACATATCCACATACGTATACATATACACAGACACATTGTGTATGCATACGTACATACACATACCATGGACGAACCTGACAATTTTGCCAGTCTCCTGCGCAGCCTTTCGGGGACTGGGTCCAGTATAGAGCCTGGGAAATGGTCAGAGAAAGCGGGAGCGGAAAGCAGCAGCAGTCAGGCTGCTGGCAATCCTCAAAAGGCCTAAACCCTAAACCCTAAAACCCTAAAGCCCTAAACCCACAACCCTAAACCCTAAACCCTAAACCCTAAACTGGCAATCCTCACTTGCTCCGACCCCTCCCAAGCAGCACCTCCCCCTCACCCACCTGGAGTCTCAGGTTCAGTTCAAGGGGCTATTTGGGAGTTTCCGAAAACAAGGGGTACCTTATTTTGGGGTCCTTATAATGAGGATCCTATTATTTAGGGTACTATATTAGGGTCCCCTATTTTCGGAAACCCCCATTTATTTGGGCCCCGAACTGCATCGCAGAAGCGCGGGAGAATACTCATCCACCCAATTTCTAACTATTGGGTAGTGGATCAGGGAGCTCGGAGAGAAAGCGACACGAAAGCTTGTAAGTATCATGATCCCAAGCAGGGCAATAGTAGTAATGACACTGCAACACACTTGAGTCCCCGGATCATAGAGTAGTGAAAGGATCGGGTGTCGCAGACTTGAACGCCTCGCCGGCAGCTTGGGTCGCTCTATTCCGACGCACCATTGCGAGGAAGCTTTCAACCAGTGCTCGCAGGAAGCAGTACTTATTACTATTTGTCAGCAAGTACTATTGACTATTTCTATTGCTATCATCCTTACTATCAGACTTGCTGACAAGTTCAGATGAAGAGGGCAACGACAGTGGTGATCACTATGGTGGTCATCAACATTCTTACTGTGCTTCGCGGCCATGCAGTTCTTACAGCATACAATCAGGAGCCTGAACGAGGTCTGAACAATTAGTTGGGTTTTTGTGTGTCTGCTAGTTTGGTTATATAGAGATGAGGAAGGGGTTTTGTTTCCAATCAGTCTGACCGCCCACGCCGACTTAGGCTTGGAATCTTAGCATCCGACATGCTTACCTGGCTATACCCTCGCGCAAAACCCGTGGTGTGGGGGCCTAAATACTTACCTGTACTATTTTGGGGGTTCCTTTTCTAATTATACTATAATGGGCCCCAAAACAAAACTCTAGCTATTCTAACTATTAAGGCCGCTATGTTACGGCTTTGCCCGATGGGGATTAAGACCGGCCTCCGTCTGCCTGAGGGTATAGTATTCGGTTCAGGATGTCGAGGCTGAGGAATTCGGGCATCCCCAACACATGCAGCGATCTCTGAACAGAACCCCTCGACTGTAACACTTCTGTAGAAGGCGTATCAAACCGTACAGCTAGGCCCTTAAAATCTATAGACCCCGAACTCTGCGCCCTGCAAACCATAAACTACAATGAAGGTTGAGAGCTCTGCAATCGCACGGAAGACCACGGAGCATCTTTACAGTGGAGGCGAAGCGGCCCAAGGCCCAAGACGCCAAGAGGATTGGAGAGTCAGGTGTAGTGGGGCTTTGGATTTGGGCTTTTGGGTTTCGGGCTGTAGAAGTGCCTTGAGTCAGTGAAGTACAATTTAGGGCATGGGCAACGGCAGAAGAAAAAGATTAGCAGCAGCAGCAGTAGGAATAGAAAAAGAAACTAAGT